CTAAAGCGTCGAGGTTTTCACCACCGCACTGTCCAAACATGATGGGGTACATGAGTGAAGTCTGTTTCCAAAGGGGGGGGGACGTCTTTGTGAGGTCTGATTTTCTCATACATAGGAGGGAAATTTCAGAATTAGTGTATGAGAAACCATGTTTCAGGTCATAACTAGGTGCCAGTCCTATTAATAATGAGACAGCATTCTTCCTTCATCCTTTCCACCGAAACCCACGTATCAGCTGACCCCCGGTACTGAAGGCGCCAGAAGATACAAAGTCGTCAAGCTTTGACTTGTCTTCCCTACCACCGGCCAGTCCTCTGAAACAAACCCTCAGTGGCCGATTGGTCATTTCCGTACAGCACCTTACGAAAGGATCCTCACACAACTCTTCAGTAACTTGGGGTCTGTTCGTAGGAGAAGGTATTGTCATTCTCCAAGGCACCCCGGCCCAAAACACACACACACACAGAAATTGCCGACTGTCACCTTGAATAGCAACCCCGGGCTCTGCTTTGCAAAGACAAATGGCTCATTTAGACCCAAGCGGCGGGGCTGCCTTTGAGACGTTCATTGATTTTAAATTAAAAAATGACTGCTACGTTTTACATTAAGAGTGACAACTAAATAACAGAGTAGACCTCACTTAGTGCTATTTGTAGCAACTCCATGGCACCCATCTGAAGGGGGGAGGGGGAGGGACAAGCCTAACTGGGGTAAGGGGACTGATCGATAATCCGGAGCCCTCCCAGCTGCAGCAGGTAGTCAGTCCTTGATGGAGCGACTGAGATACAATGTTTTCCTCATGGCTCAGGTCTTCAGGTTCAGTGTACTGACTTGATTAACTTCAACTTCGTTCTCCTTGAATGTGTGTCTCTTTTCCTTCATGCAACTCTGTTGGGGGTTGGGGGAGAGGAGTTGAATGTACAGGTTATATTCTATTTGTTCTGTAAAGATGCCCAAAAAGGATGTTTGGTCCAGCAGATGAGAAGGAGGTTTGGAAGAGAGAGGTGTTCCTGGAGTTGGTTTTTTCACCATTTTTGTAAACAGTACTTCCTATTAAATGGTAAATAGTGTAAAAAAATAAAGTTCCAAAGGCTCTTGATTTGGGAGAGTGACTTTAAAGCCATTAGAAGACTCGATTGCGTATCACTAGTGCGATTAAGAATCACAGTGAGAGCTACTAAGTATCAGGTACTCGGGTCTTTTTCTAATTGTTTCTAAAATGTATTTCTTAAGAATTATACTCCTGGCTATTTATTATTATTATTTTTTTAAAGCTTAGTTGGAGTCTTCAGTGTATCTGGAAGTAATAAAACCAGGTTTAGTTTTTTTTTTAATTTGTTGAAATCCAGAACTAGGACTTTTTATTGACTCGCTTCTCACCCCTGCCCACCGCCTCGTGGGACGCGCCGACACAAAGTTGAACTTTGTGTTATTTCATTATTGCAACTGTGATGGAGATCCTAGGAGGATGTGCGCCTGGACTGTGACAAACCTTGTTACTTCCCCTGTTGTCGGTCTCGACCCGGCAGCATCCGTGGAACTGGCTGCGTTCCCCCCCACTCGCTGGCCTGTCGTGGCTCCGCATCGGCCTGAAATCCAGACTCGCCCTGGGGCACGCGTGGCAGTGTTCCTCTGAGATACGTGCTGATGGAACAGCACGGGTTGGAACTCTGCACGTCCCCTCACAGGTTTTTTCTTTTCTTAAGATTTTCTTACTAACGTTTTCTTTTCTCTAGCTTACTTTATTGTAAGAAAACGGTAGATGATATACATCATACAAAGTAAGTGTTAGCAGATCATTTAAGTCATTGGCAAGGCTTCCGGTCTATAAGTAGTTACCTTTTTTTGAGAGTCAAAAATTACACATGGATTTTCAACTGTGCAGGGGTTGGCACCCCTCACCCCCACATGTTCAAGCTGTTCAGGGGTCCACTGCAGCCCTCTGTAAACCCTGCTCTTTGGACAGCCTGGACTGTTCGTAATTTTCTGAACGGAACACACTCATCCTTTACAAACACATTCAGCAACGAGTGCAGAAACCTGACCAGCAGCAGCTGCAACTTGTGAGCATGTTTACTCTGTTTCCACAGAGCTCAGACGTAGATAATCCCTGGACTGGTTCTCACTGCTCGATACCAGAGGGGCTGTGCTTCAGAATTCAGATCCCACTCTGTTCCCGTTTGGGGACTGTTCCCTTCCCCCACCCCAGCTGGGGCTGCCCCCTGAGAGGTGCGTGCTCTTGCGAGGTACACTGGACTCTTTAGCTGGGGGGAGCTTCCAGAGGGATCAGAGCGCTTAAAGGATCATCTTGTACAAAAAGGTAAAATTCTGACGCTTACAGATGTGAAATGAACATGTGTTTGAGATGTTATTGAACTCATTCATTAATGAGGGAACCAGGCAGACTTTTCAAAGGACAAGTCGAACTCAGACTTCTGTGGAGTAAGACATGTTGAAATTGCTGTGCAGATGCGTGCAGACCTGGCTCTTCCGCAGGAGAAAGGACTGTCCTCCTCGGGACAGATCGCGTTTGCACTCCTGTCGACAAGAACGGTGTTGCTTTGGTTTCCATTATCTTTAACTTTGGGCTCAGGAGGACTGGAAGAAGATAAAGCATGGTTTTCTATGGAAGCACACACTTTCCCAAGCAAAGGGGAAAAGGTACATTCAATGCAATTGTCATAAAGACTGAAAAACGACCATCTCTAGCAACAGTGGATCAAGTTGGGTGTGTCTGCTCCCACCAGCAGTGCCCCCAATTACTTCACACTAGGACTTCATTCCCCCCCCCCAACTCCACACCAGTGGTTCTCAACCTTCCTACTGCCGCGACCCTTTAATGCAGGTCCTCATGCGGTCTGTGGGCGTGTCTGCATGTGGGGGGTGTCTGCGCGTGGGCGTGTCTGCGCGTGGGCGTGTCTGCAGGTGGGCGGACCCGCCAGGAGATGGATAGAGGAGCGGGGTCTCCGTTCCTAAGACCATCGGAAATAGGTGTTTTCCGATGGTCTTAGGTGACCCCTGTGAAAGGGACCCCCAAGGGGTTCGTGACCTCCAGGTTGAGAACCGCTGCTCTATACTCTCCCAACAATGGACCTGACCACTTCATTGTCTCGGTGTCTTCTGTCCGCTTTCCTGCTTCTCTGCATTTTCACCACCACTGTGGGGTCTTACGCTGAGTCAGTCGTAGGTACTAATAAATCCTTGCCAAATAAGTGAATGCATTTTGGATAAAAAGGATGTGACTTTGCTGATATGATTTTAATTTAATTTTTAATTTTTATGTTGTCTTCTCTGACACTCTTTTAATTTTAATTTTAAAAGTAGATGCGATCATAGGCATTGATTATCCTTGGCACTGTGAGCCAAGATCACACCACAAAAGCCAATAAGAAATGTTAGGTATGCATGTTAATGAATACACACACACACACATATATATTTCTGTAAAGTTAGTCACTAACTGAATGAGCTAATTTTTAAAAAAATATTTAAACCCGGCCGGTGTGGCTCAGTGGCTGAGCGTTGATCCATGCACCAAGAGGTCGCCGGTTTGATTTACGGTCAGGACACATGCCCAGGTTATGGGCCTGATCCCCAGTGGTGGGCGTGCAGGAGGCGGCCAGTCGATGTTCTCTCTCATCGATATTTCTATCTCTCCCTCTCCCTTCCTCTCTCTCTAAAATCAATAAAGAAAAAATATTTCTAAAAAATATTTAAATGATTATGTATTTTCTATCAGGGAAGTGCTATGTATCTCTCAGTACAAGGGAAAGGGGAAACCAGACAGATGCCCATTTGGTGCTGATAGATTTTCATAGTATGTCTTTGGTTGTACCCCTTGAATCAGCCTGGTCATTAATTGTACTTTTCTTTGTGCCTTGTAGGTAGAATTTATATTTAGAGTAATTTTATTCCACAGCTCCAATTCGTCATAATATATACACGACTGAGTGCATGTGTATTAACATATATTTGGGTTCTTACCTAAGTTAATTTTTTGCTTTTAAATATTTCTCTAATAATCTGGATGTTTTCAAATCGGGCCTCATGCAACTTGAGGATACTACCGCATAGCTCTCTGAATTACTTAAAGAACTTGTGCGCCCGGAAAGGAAATGCTTCTTTTATCTCTGCTTCACGACCGCCGGTCACTATCCCAACCCGCGTGGGGGATAATGATCCAGGAAATGAACAGAGCCCTTTCTAGCTTGAAAATCTGAGAAGACTTTTCAGTCTTTTCTGTGTGTGTTACTTTGCCTGGATTTCCAATGGGCCATTTCTAATTTTTCTAAAACTCTTTAATTTAGGAACCCATGATTAGACAGAATTATTTAATTCTCACTAGTTCCAAGAATAGCAGAAGGTTCTTACATACCATGTCTTTACAAATATCATCCAGTATCGCATTAGCCCGTTCGGTAGCAGCAGACGGGCATTCATGCATTCGAATGATGTTTCTTCACCTAACTGATAATTAACTGTAGAATTCTAATCATACGAATTACAAGGCAGAACATCGCTGTTTCCTTCTTCCTATTTAACATGTTTTAAGAGAATTCACTGCCGCATAATATCCTAAAAGAAATTGATCATACTTTTCCTGTAATAAATGTTGTTCTGACAGTAAAGCATTAGTAACCAATTGATAACCTAGCAACAATATTGTGATCTCTTTAGATAATTAATCTTAGCTATTTTCCTGTCAGAAGCAACAGTGCTTGATTTTATGTTGAGCCAGAGAGATTGCCAGTTTTGAAAATTAAAAAGCATTCCTTTTATATTATTCATTCCAGTAACAATTTATGATGGCGCATTTAGCTGCTGAACGCTTGTCAACAAACGTAATTATGTTTCGATATAAACAAGATTGGTGGTTTTACGATGCTGCTCCATCTTGGTTGAGAATGTTTTGATTTAGGTTCAGATGATACAGGCTGTGTATTTATCTATCATTCTTTTCCTCCTTTGTTAATCGTTCCTTTTCTGGTAATTGCTCGCAGGCAGACAAGCGTGCATCTAGGGTCCTTATGCACCGGAGATGTCAAACGGAGGAGGAAAGCAGCACCTTTGCCGGGACCTCCTGCAGCAGGTAAAAGGGAGCGGGCTCGGGGCAGAGCGCGGGTGCGAAGTTCACAAATCACCGAGACTAAAATACTGATCGTTCTTAATCACTTGCACTGAAGAAAAGGCACAGGTACCAGCAACTGTTACATCATTTGCACGGGGTGCCGGGGTGGATGGCAGGTTTCCTGTCGCTCTTGCAGGCAGCCAACCAACCAATGAAATGTTTCCTACACACCTGCCCCAGTGCAAGACTCTGTGAGACGCAGTAAAGGGAACAGAAACTTCACAGGCTGCGTCTTTGGCCTCAAGAAATGGACAGACTTATTGGGGAGGAGAGTAAAAGGTCTAAATAGATGGGAAGGCAAATAGCCCAGTAGCGATTAATAGTAATAAACGCAGAAGTTGGCTCAGCTCTGACTGCAGGCCCCGTGTCGCAGGACATGGAGGGCTGGCCCTGCTGGTGGCCCTCTGGCTTCTAGTCCCAGCTCTGTGGCAGTCTCAGAGTCGTCTTTCCTTATTGGACCACGTTAGCATCAGAATAAAAGACCCCTCAGGGTGTCCGCCTCCCGAGCCTTGTCACTGGAAGAGCGCGTCATGCTGATGCGTGTGGCACAGGGGAGACCACAAGTACTGACACAGACCGTCACTGGGCAGAGGGGGCAGAAGGCCGTCCTGGAAGGGCCGGGAAGGAGACCAGTGAGACCAGTCGGTATTGCAGAACCTCAAGTCGGAGCAGAGGTGAGGGGGGCAGAGATGGGGCCACCAGCGGTGGGTGGAGCCAGCCCACGTAGGAGTAACCGCATGCACCACGTAGGAGTAACCGCATGCACCACCGTGGATTTGTGATGCAGCAGACTGACCACGAGAAAACGTTCCCAGGGCAGAAGCGTGGTAGTGACAGAGAATGATAGCCTTGATCTCTGATCCTTCACCGTTCAGATTTATAAACATTCTCCTCACTTCTTTTGGGAAACCTTTTGTAGGAAAAATTATTTTTCCCTATGATGAATTATAGAATATAAAAATAAGATTCATGTTAACAAGAGAGAAAACACAGAGAAGGGAAAAATAAAGTCTGTGTGTATATACATACATATGTATATAACAGACACACACATAATTTTGACATGGGATGTCAAAGGAAATAAAAGATGAGAAGCTATTTAGGAGACCTGTCCCACAGTTCAGCACGAAAACACCGATGAATAATTAAAAATGAGAGCACTCATTATCCAGTTTTTTCATCCATATAAAGGGCTACATTATGAAATTATGCCTGTGGTTATAATATCTGATCTTCTTGGTGTATTCAATGTTCAGAAATGGGAAATCAGAAACACCTGTGTATGGAATGTGTTTCTTTTTATGTAGATAATATTTACCACTCACTGGGTACCTACTATGTGCCAGGAACTTTATCTTTTCATTTTTATCGTTGCCACAACTTTGTGAGCCAGTTGTTACTATTATCCCTGTTGATCACAAATTAAAATTCAGAGAAGTGTGAGGATCTGCTTGTCTATCCTACTGGCTGGCGGGGGTTTCGAGCCTACACCTGTATGACCCCTACCCCATGTTTTCTGTGACAACCTACTTGTGGCCTTTTTGGAAGAATATATATGTAGACTATCTCACTGTGTATGTTTACTTGAACACACTCATATATCTTAAGTTTCATGGGAGATTTATCTAAACATTGACATATACAGATACAGAATATTAGTTAGAATACTTCTAATATATCTCTTTATACGGAAACATATAGTCACGTTTAGGTCAAATACATAAGTTCTTCAGTTCACATCTTTCATAAGACTGGTGTAGGATGCTTCGATGTCCTTGTTCCAGCTGAATGGTCCCCTGGATTCTCTTCTCTTTCAGTGACTCAGACATTAGTGGCAGAAGCAATACAATCTTGGGAATGTGGCTAAAGCACCTTTGTGCCCGCAATCAGGGTCGGTTCTCACATTCTCAACATACACGAAGAGAGAAGGATAACAGAATAGTTGAGGAGGAGGATATGATTATTTCTATGAGGCGATTTTGATGTTACAACAACAGCATCTAAGGAAACCGCTTACATGGAGTATGGGCATAAACATTAGACATTAGCTTACAACATTTAGAAGCTCACACCAATATATTCCAGATGTTAGAGGTCTAAACAGCTGTGATTTTCTTAAGGTTTGGGATTTTTATAATATTACTAGATTTTTTACTGCAAGAATAGAATTCATAGAAATGTAGTGCATTTTTGTAATTACTCAAAAAGTAGCGGAGTGGGAGAATCGGTACTTTTGTCCATACAGCTTTAAAATCCATGCATACCTGTTCCTCTCAAAGGGGAAGAGAAGGGAGTCATTTAAAAGACCTTGCTTTTAAAAGAATCTCTCCTAATAACTGGTGAGAGGTGAAGATGATTATTCGAATTGAAGTAAGAAGTGGTTTTGCATAAATGTACTTTGATAATGAGGTTATGGATCCTACACTGTCTTGTCTCTGAAAATTGTAATTTTCAAATTCTGGAATATGGTCAGTCACCTAATAAAGAGTCAGTTATATTTGTAAGCTTTCAAAGTCGAGTTAGCATGTATAATTAAAGAGAATTTTCTCATGTTTTAATTTTTTTTTCTTTATTGACCCTAGAGAGAGAAGAAGGGAGAGGGAGAGAGAGAGAGAAACATTGATGAGAGAGACCATCAATTGGCCGCCCCCTGTATGCCCCCCACTGGGGATCTGGCCCACAACCTGGGCATGTGCCCTGACCAGGAACTGAACAGGCGACCTCCCGGTGCATGGGTCGACGCTCAACCACTGAGCCACACCGGCCGGGCATGTCACCTTTTTATAGGCCCTTGGTAGACCTCCCAAAAAACAAATTGAATTGTGATATATTGTCACAGTTCCTTCTGCCTTTTAAGTCAGCATTCCTTCTAAGCTGGAAAAAATACAGCTGAAGACAACTCTCATTTAAAATACAGAATAAGAGTTAAAAGGCCAACAGCTTGAATACTGTTTAACGAGCCCCTCTGACTTCTATGGAAACTATTTTGCAGTCAAACAGCAGAGTAAGAAAAAATTTACGAAAGAATTGCCAGACAATTACACTTACGCACTTCGACTTTATAATTCCAAACTGGGTTTATACAATTGAAAACCCTCAATATAACGTGATATGTTGTCTAGATGATAAATATTATTTTTTACAAAAGATTTGAAGTCTTCCATGAAATGAATGACCCCAAATCTGATTCTCTTCGCCTGCTGATGTGTTGAAAACCATGCTCACCCCGTCTCAGCCCCAGCAGGAAGTGTGCGTTCATCGCTGTCCCTGGCCAGCCTGCGGCATTATCACCTGAACATCTATTAATCGTGACAGGAACACCAAATTTATTTCAGTGCTTTAGCTTATTTACTGCTCTTTCACCTTTGTGTTTTGTATTGACAAAGTAAAATGAATATTGATAAGGCTAGATATTGATTTTTTTAAATGTATGGCTTGTTCTCTGCCTCATTCAAAGTCACATATTCAGAGAGTGAATGTCTCAGTAGCAAGGGATGTAGATTTACTAGTATAAAATTGAGAACTGTTGAAGCAAGAAGGTTTGCGAGCAGAATGCATTTTATTGTTTGAATAATGTCATCTGTAAAGGTGAAGAAAAGCAGAGCACACATTTTTAAAAGGCAGTCAGCAGTGTTGGTGATGGTCCGTGTTTTGGGTAGAAGTCATAGCTTACTGAGGATTTGATCATAAAAAGATTTTGCTTAGTGGTAGTGTGGCCATTACATCTAAAAAAAAATATTTTGTCCGCTGTACATTACTAAACTTATTGTTATCCAAAAATCGGTATTCTCTGATACTATTTTGCTTTCTAGTAAAATAATATCAGAGAAAATAGTCACCATTAGCAGTCAACCTTTTTTCTATACATTTTAGATTGTACAAAGGATGCCTATTGGAGTTGAATATCTTGGGGTAGAGATGGCCCCACGGTGACTGTTTTCATGAAGTACAAGTTCTTGGCAAGAGGCTGTGTTACAGTTCTTGTGGCTTTTCAACTATTTCCCCTGCGTTCTGCTGAAATGAGTAAGCACACACATTAAATAGAAAACAATGGCTGTCCCTGCCAATAGAAAGACTGAATAACGAGAAAACCCTCACAGTACAGAACACTTGCTGAATGGAATGGAAACCATCCCTTTAGATGCACAGCCGAGAATGCAGGAGGAGAAGTGTCCAAGACCACACGTGTCCAGATTTGTCACTCTCGGAGACCTCGAGGCATTGGGTTCGTGTCCCCATGGGAAGGGAGCCGAGCCGGGGAGCTGACCTCATCAAGCCGGAAACTGAAAAACTCGATCCTCCAACGGGGCGAACTAGAAACAAAACCATCCACAGACACGGAAGACAAAGAATCTTGTTGCCAGCTGGGCTCCAAGTAGAAAACTGAAGACTTATAACCAAGAGCTGACCCTCAGATGAGTTTCTAGCTTAAAATTCCACCAAGCCAAAATATTAACATAAAAATTGGTCTTTGAAGCAAATGCAAAACCACTCTAGAGGTAAAGGCCTCAACCCCAAGGTTGGAGTCACCTCAAATGAAACCTACTGAAGGTGATCTCACAGACTAAAATAAAAGAATTTGTTATTTAAAAAATAAACAAAAAAATAATATTCAAAAACAAAAGGGAATGAATGGGAAAAAAAAAAGACAGATGTGGTTAAAAAAAAAAAAACAAGTAGAAATTTGCGATTTTATTTATTATGAAAAAAATCTTGATAATTATAAACTCACTGGATGGATTAAACAGCAGATGAAATAAAGCTGGGGGGGGGGGACAACCAGTGAATTTTAAGAAGAATCTGAATAAACAACCTAAGAAAAAAGCTCAGAGGAATAAAAGTATGGGAAATATGAAAGAATGGCTGGGGAACTTGAAGGAAAGTGAAATTCAGCATCTGGAAAGTCTAATAAAACTTCCAGAAAGAGTAGAAAGAATAAGGAGGCGTAATCTTTAGGAGAATATTGACAGAATTCACTGACATTGACAGATTTTACAACCGAAGAAAAACATGCACTTTCATATTCAAAAAGTACAAGTTTTTATCAAGAAATAGTAAATATAAATATAGTCATACCTAGACACCTGGTAATAAAGCGTCAGAACTCCAAAGACAAAGAGAAGAACTTACAAGCAGCCAAGGAGAAAAGATACAACCTACAGGGGAATGAAATTACACGGTAGCAACCTTGAGAAAAGGAGTACAATCCAGAAGATAATACTTTCAAAGTGCTGAGGTCAAATAATAATCAACCTAGAGTCTTATATCCCGTTAAATTATTTTCCAAGAGGAGGAATGAAATAAAGACATTTTCAGGTAAAGACGGATTGTTAACTAAATTTAATACCTCAGCTAGAAACAAAACAGAATCCATAAAAAAGAATATTAAGGAGGAATTGTGATCAAAGAAATTGTAAACATGTGTATAAAGCTAAACTAATCTTGAATGAATAAAATTAATAATGATGGTGGTGACAGTGACCATGAAGATGATTCACTTGGATGTATAAAAGTCCAATGGAAACAAAGGAGAAAACAAAAATGTATAGAAAAAGCAAGATAAATAGCATTAAATAATAAAAATAAATCCCCACATAATCAGTAATCACAATAAATGTAAATGGAGTAAATGAATGAGTTAAATTCAAGGATTATCATAATGGATAAAAGAACAAAACTCCATATATTCTGTTTACAATAAATGCAATGAAAACTTAAGTTTTCATTTAAATACCAGCCAAAGAAAGTTGGAGCAGCTGGGTTTATAACAAAATGAATCTTGACGTATTTCGGGAGGGTTGAAATACTCTCTTCAGACAGACTTGCTATGCTAGTTTAGACTACCAGTTTTCACAGGAGTTTTACAGTTGTGAATAGAATAAAATCTCAGTCATGTGGGAAAGTATGGCAGAAGAGATGTCATCGTAAAAAAAATGTGGTGATATAATATTTTAAGTTCAACATCCATGAAACGGTAACATGTAAACTCAGATGTCCTACATTCATCTATGAAGTGGAGTTTTATATACATTTTGTCTGATAAGGAAGATATAAAAAAAACAAAAAACAGACATTGGGAGCACTGATGATGTCCAAGAGCCACAGACTGTTCTCTCCTAAGTTAACCAAGTATTTCAGAGTGTGTTTGCCACATAGTGTCCATATGCAAACGGAGGGAAGTTAACATTATAATCCACGTATAATTCGATCGATCTTATTAAACGGTCTCTTTGCCATTAATTCTCCTAGGGTGGCCATGCAGGTAATGGAAAGAGCAGGCTTTCAGAGTAGACTTAACCACAAGTGGAAGTTAGCTCTGTTCTCACTGTGTGGTCATGGTCACCTCCCTTCTCTCTCTGAGGCCATGACAGTGGCCCCGTGCACAGTTGTCAGAAGTGGAGATAATGAATGTCATATGCCGGAGGTCCTGACTACATCAGAGCACCTGAACCCCATGTGCCTACAGAACCCGTGCAGTTTGATTGTGATTTTCGTAGCTTTCTGAAAACCCCGTTCTTTGGTGTATAATCACTCCATGAGAAATGCACCTCTGTGTAACCAGAACATCTGTTCATAAAAACACTCCCTTCTCCAAACATGTCAACACAGATCATGTCTGATTCTCCACCAGGTTTTTGCCACTTCAGGGGGACAAAAAAAAAATACTAGTTTCACATTAATTTTTCATTATTTAAAAAGGGCCTTGACTTTTTAAGCAGTTGACTATTTGAACTGATTTCACTTAACAAAATTCACATGAAAAACACCTGTAGTATTGCAAATACTGTCGAAGGGTCTGAATTAGTGAGGCGTTCCTAGACCAACAAATGAAATAATAAAAACCTTTGACAAAGAGCAGTAACACCTACCACTTTCTGGGCTTAAAGTTTAAGAACTTAAAGTTTAATCACTCATAACAACAGCAGCCCAATGGCCCTGCCCCTCGGCTGGCTGGTCCAGTGCTGGGGAAGAGCGTGGGAGGCCCGGAGGTGGGCGCTGTGCCTTCTGAGCACCGGCAGGGACGGGATCGCAGGCAGAGCTGTGATGTGGGGGCCGCACGACACCTCCCCTTCCGCTGGCTGTTGATCCAACATCAATACAACACTTTAGGAGCCAAATTACTAAACAAGCTGCCAATTAGGCTTGCAGTCAGCTGGACAGATTAGCAGCTAGGAGAGGCCGATACAAGATTTTCATCTCTTGAGCCAATTACGCAAGTGAATTACCCTCCACAATGGTTTTTGGAAGACGTGAGGGGGCAGGACCGACTCAGCTGTAACCGAGAGCAGCGCCCCAGCATCAGGAGGGCTGGGCACAGCGCACGCGGAGGGTTATTGCTGAAACCGCCCGAGCGGGAGAAGCGTTCTCGGAAAAGGACTTAAAGGATTTATCGCCGCCAGGAGCAAAAGGATGAGGACGTTGTCGTGTGCTGTGCTGGGACTGAGCGTTCCCTCCCACGTCTTAATCTCATTTAAAAAATAAATAAGAGGAGGAGAGACCAGTAGCATATTCCACTCTAGAATTATTTTCCATGCAAAATGAAGTATGTTCTTTGGCGGTGGTTTGGTTTGTTTTGTCTTTAAGGTTGTGTAGAAAAGCTCTGGCGTTTTGTGTTTGGTTTTGCTTTTGCATGAATCTGTGTTTCCATGTTGTAAGAGTTCGCGCTGGAGAAATTTAATGTTTCTTTTTCCTTCGTCTCTCTTCAAAGTACAAGCTAGTGCTTTATTTTATTTTCATGAAGAAGAGGTGAAACCGGCATTCTAAAACAGAGAGGGGGTGGATTGTTTCCCGCCTGTATAAAAACACAACACCCCTGGGCCGCCGCACTTGAAATACCAGCATTTCAACATCACGGTAGTGAATCCGTGACCGTTTGTCATTGCAAAAGTAAAGTTATTCAAAGTTCTTTAAAAAGCCGGCAATAGTAACATGATTGTGCCTGTCGTTCGGGGCATAGCCCAGCTGCACTGTTCGTTATCCGTTTGCTAAAGGCTCAGTGGCTTCACGGGCCACCCACGCGGGTGGAGGCCTCCAGTGCCCGGGCCGGCAGCCAGCGCCCCCGGGACCTCTGCGGAGAGAGAACCCGGTTCTTAGCCCGGGAGGGTCTTCCGCCGGGTCAGCACTGACGTCTGTCCTCATTTTCCAATTTCAGGGTTTGTCGGAGAAAACGCCCAGCCCATCTCCGAAAACAACATAGGGAACCGGATGCTGCAGAACATGGGCTGGACGCCCGGCTCGGGCCTCGGACGCGACGGCAAGGGGCTGGCTGAGCCCATTCAGGCCGTGCAGCGCCCCAAAGGCCTGGGGCTGGGGTTCCCTCTTCCGAAGAGCCCCCCCGCAGCGCCCACCCCCGCGGCCCCCGCGGTCCCCGCCTCGGGAAAACCCGCCTGAGGAAGCGGAGGAGGAGACTCAGTGTGGATGCGCCTGCCCCGCGACCCCGTGACAGCAGAGCGCGGCCGTGGAGCCGAAACCCGCGTGGCTCAGACTCGCCCAGCCCCCCGGCGGACCCGGCACAGACGCCGCTCCGCCCCGGCCCCGGTGCTCAAGTACAAACCCCCCCTTCGGATGCTGTCAGCAGCCGGCCAGCTGTGTCTCGGACAAAGGACCGCTCGTTTCTCTTATTTATTCCGATCACGTATGTCGGTCACGTCCAATGCTTTCGAGCTTGATTCCTGCACGTGTGCGCTGCGCCCTGCACGTGTGGGGGCCCCCAGGGGTCTGGAGTGGGACAGGCCAGGAAGGGGGTTTCTGTCATCGAGTCCCATCCTTGCTTCAGGGAGGTCTAAGCAAGTCTTGGACTGAAAGGCTGGTCAGGTTCCTATTTGTGGACTTGAGCGTGTGTGCGTGTGTGTGCGCACGTGTGTGTGCGTGTGTGCGTGTGGATTCGGGGAGAGACCCATTCATCTCCTGACCTTGGACACTTAGTACCAGGGCTCAGTTGACCAACGGCGATTAACGTTTCCCTCTGACGTTCAGACAAAAACAAACCTCATCCTCCTTGTCACCAGAGTGCCCTCAACATTACTTCCGTGCACATTTTATAAATTTTACCTCATTTAGAACGTAAACTGATTATCGCAAGAAAAATGCATTTTTAAAATTCATCCTGACGGAACTACAAATTCCCTTCATCTAGACTGACTGCTACCTCTCTCTTCCCCAAAGGTTGACTTTTTTTTTTAAAGATCAACTCAACTGTAGTAAACTGACTTTAAATTTTAACCATTGGTACAAGTTAAAATAGTGAGTCAATTTGTTTAGAGATTTAAATGGCTCTCCCAAGAATTCAGATTTCTGGCAATGATCCAACCCACTTACAAGGTGAACAAAACCGATGGCCCCGTGCCGCCCATTCCAACACCTTGGCGGTGACTTGAAAACCAGGCAGAGCAAGGCATGTGTACGTGTGCCTAGTGTTATTTCTGAGTCGCCGGCTTCATAATGCCAGACATTCTAAATAAATTGCTCTTAGTTTAGAAGATTTGTTATCACCTTCATTAGTAAGGACTAATAATATTCTATTTGTAGTGGCCTTATTGGTTGAGTCAAGGCCAAGATAACATGTCAGTCACCTTGACCGTGGGTTGTACTAAGGCTTTGTTTGGTTTGGTTTTTTGGAGTTTTAGGTTTCACTGCAAAATTAAGAAGGTACAGAAGTTTGTCATAGACATCCCCCTCCCCCCCTCCCCCCACACACAGCTTTTCCCCGTTATCAACATCCCCACCAGCCTGGCACCTGGTTACAGCCGATGAACCCCAGAGACATGGTAGTTCACATTGCAGTGTTCCGTGGACTTGGACCACGCAGAATGACGTGGCTGCACCATTCTAGCACCGTACGCAGTAGTTCTGTGCCCTGGAATTCCTCTGTGCTCCACTCCAGTCGGTTTTTGAAAATTTGTAAATCCCCTTTCGAAGGTGGGGCCCTAAAGAAAGTACTGCCAGTTAGGGAGAGGAAGGTCCGCCTTCCCTTTTGTTACTTGAAAGCCCTGAAGATTTGCCAAATGTATGCCTTTCTTTCAAGCATCGCCTTCTCTCTCAGGGGTGTGGCTAGAGGAAATACAGGCGACCAGGTGAGTTGATCTTTGGAAGCGTTCATATTGGATGAAGTAGCTCTACTGTATGATTATTTTGTACCAGTTTGTTACGTAGAAATTTGCTATTAAAAATGCTTTTTGTTGCATACTCATTCTCTGGATTTAAGGGGGGGAAGCTGGGAGGGACTGTCTAGGTACCAGTTTGAAACGTCTTTGTGGTAGTGTAGAGCATTCTAGGGTCTGTCCACTAGAACTTCTTTTCAATTCCAACATGTTCTGCAGATCTGAGGATCTTCTAGAATCCTAGCATTTTGAAAACCCACATTTGGAGCCCTTCTGAACACACCATACGGTTATCGCGAGACCGACCCCCAACTCCTGTGAACGTGGCACTTCCTGGGTCCCCACCCTCCGGGAAGAGAGCGGGACACACACAGTGCAGTCTTCCTGAAGGCTTCCCGTTGTGCCCCCGGACGGGACCCCACCTTCCGAAGCAGCACCTCTGAGCTCATCCACCTTGGGTGTCCTCAACCCCTCACCACAGACATGCACGTTGACAGTTTCAGCTCCTAGCAGAAAGTTCTTCATCTGGACACCTGCAGCCCTCCCGGCGGCTCACAGAGGACCGGAGGTACTTCCTAGTCCATGGAAGTGTCGAACCAGACGGAACACACGAGTCAACCCTCGAAGCAGATCAGTGGTGACATCCAGGCGTCCCCCCCCCCCCGTGCTCTGCACACACGTGCCCCAGAACAGCACCTGCCCCTTCACCGTGCAGTGTCCTTAAGAAAAAGCAGTGCACACCTGACACTCTGCTTGCACCTGGTCTTCATGGGAGAAATAAGCACAATTCAGAAATGGAACGTTTAATGTAAATCAAATACCTTTTAAGACATGATGTCCACTAATTTATTTATGATACACACACACACACACACACACACACACGGTTAATTTTACACTTACTATGCCCACAGAACTCAAAGCAATTTATAATTAAGAACATATCATTCATATCTCCTTAAAAAGGTGGTAAGATTTTTCTCTACTCCTTCAAAAAGCCACCCTTGTACAGTAGCCACGTCTCGTATCAAATTAATTGGGTGCGCTAAAATGTTTAGGGAGTGCATAGGTCTCCCATTACTATTCAAAGTATCCATTCCCCAGCAGTAGCCAAGAGAGGCTGAGCGAGAATTAGCAATTCAACATTTTGTCTTTATACACTTGTTATACTTGACACTGACCAGCCTGTGGGCTGGAGTCATTTCCTCCCTCCCTCCCTCATCCTTCCTTCCTCTTTTCTTCTCCTCAAATATGGTTAAGTTGATGCTTCCCTTAGATTTGTTCACTTCTTTATGAAGTTATATGGTACCCTTTTAAAAGAAAATCTATTGCGAACTAAAATCTACCAATGAACTGGCCTCAGCTTTTGAATACACAGATTTCTATAATTGGTACTGTAGCTCTCAGAGGGAGTTAGGACAGTAGGTTTCGAGATAAACATAGTGTACATATATAGGTGTGTTTACAGCGCGCATAGGATGCCATATACAGACATAACTGCAAAATACTGCGTTTTATTAATGTCTATTGTAACATTGTGAGTTGATATTCTTGTAATTAATTGAACTGACAATTGCTTCTCTTCCATATATTTTCATGTTGATTTTCATAAAAGAGAAAAATCACTGTTGACTTGCTTCTTAAAACCATTTCCTCTTGGACTTTGTCTTAAAAAAAAAAAAAAAAGTGATCTAACGTTGAAATTGTAAAATGAAGTTGTTTAGCCAGAAATATTTTGGATTATTTTTTTAGGTTTTTTTTTTTTTTTTTTTTGGGGGGTAGAAAGTATATTAATAGTACAACAAAGAATGAAAGAATAAACTTGATGTTTAAGAATGTTATTTATAAGCAGCCACTGTCTTTGTGCTTTTAATGTTTCCTTCTAAAGTAATAAAAAAATAAAGTTGAAAATACTTTAAAAAATTTTTTTTCAATTGCTACCCATTTACAGTTAATGTTAACGACAAATTTAAATTCATTGTTCATCTGTAAGCCCTGATGTTTGGAAACATCAGTGTTGTCCAAAAAATTTTAGATAAAAAAATTGCTAAACAAATTTTTGACTTCCGTTTGTTCTCAGCTCTTTGTGACCTGTTCTACCACTTTTTCCTATTTGTGTTTTCTCTGAAGCTGGGAGACTCCCCACTGGCTTCAGGTCTCTTTCGTCTCAGAGATTCTAGGATTCCTGAGAAGCAAGGACAGGTTCTCCCTCTAGCCACTTGAAACATGGCAGCCAATCCACTTCCTTCTGGAAAATTACGTATCTCATAAACATGTTTGGATGTTTTAAATATTTTACAATACTCTACGGTGTTGAGTTTTGTTTGCTGTAAGAAGCATCTCATTATGTTGCTAAAATTTTATCTTTTTTCCCTAACAACTGAGATCTTGTTAGAGGAAGTGCCTTTCTTTTTTCATCCCGTCGGTATTAAATACTCATTTATTTATCGGACTTGCAGGAACATAGACTCAGCTACCAAGTGGACCATGAAGGCTCCTTCCGCTGGGTTCCTACTAAGCAGAGACTCATTCCCTTGCACACCTGACGTTGTAAGTAGATCCAGCTTTGTCTCCAGCAAGTCAGCGCCATTGATGGCCAGGAGCATGATGGACTGTTGCCACTTTCAGTCTCGCCTGGACATTAGAGCTGACTTCTGTCTCAACTGTCACAGTTTAAGTCGTTCCCACATTTGCAGACGCCACTCCTGTTGCCTTAGCAGCCTGTCCATACTTACTCCTTAGTCACTGAAGGATGAAGTTAGGTGGCCAGTGAAGACACCTTTAGCCTTTCTTTTGTTTTCTTTTTTTAGTTTGGATTTTCAAAATCAACGACTGGCATTTTAAATGTGTGTATAATACTTGCTTTCTCAGCTATACGATGATGGAGATAAGACTGGATTATCACAGCATCCTAAGTAGAAAGAACACCCCAAACTATTTTCTACCTGTTTTCATCTTCCTATCACACTTCGAGGAGATGGTCACTTCTTTCTGAAGACAGCATTCTTTTTTTTTTTTTTTATCATCCTCACCCGAGGACATTTTTCCATTCTTTGTTCAGATAGAGTGGGAGGGAGAGAGAGGAACAGAGAGAGAGAGAAACATCGACGTGAATGGGACACATTGAGTGGTCGCCACCCGCACAACCAACCAGGGCCGGGGACAAACTGCAACCGAGGTACATGCCCTTAGCGGGTAACCAAACCCGGGTCTCTCCGGACCGCAGGCCGACGCTCTAACCGCTGAGCCAAACTGGCCAGGGCTGAAGACAGCATTCTTTAGTAAAAGCAG